AACCAGACAAAGACAAAAGAACAACAAAAAAGGCAAACTAAAGGCCAATATCCCTGATAAAAATAGACACAAATATCCTTAAGAAAATACCAGGAAACTGAATCCAACAGAATATCAAAAAGGTAAGACACCATGATCAAGTCGGATGTAAAGACAGTTTAACATATACAAATCAATAAATACATCACAACAACAGAATGAAGGAGAAAATTCATGATTATCTCAATAGATGCAGAAAAATAATTTGAAAAAATTCGAGCCTATCATGGTAAAAACTCTCAACAAACTAGGTATAGAACGGACTTTCACCAACATCATAAAGGCCAATATGACACACTCAGAGCTAACATCATACTAAATGGGGAAAAGCTGAAAGATTTTCCTTTAGGAACTAGAACAAGAATGAGGATGCCTACTTTTTCACCATTTGTATTTCAAACTAGTGCTGACAGTTCCTGCCATGGTAATTAGACAAAAAAGAAAAAGGGCAAAGAAAATGAAAAAAAAAATTTTTTAAAGGAAAGGAGGAATTCAGGTTGTTCCTTTTTGAGGATGATGTGATCTTGTATTTAGAAAAACTTAAAGAAATTTCGTGTCATTGCAGGATACAAAATCAACAAATAAAAATCAGGAGTTTTCTATAAGCCAATTGATATGGTTTGGCTGTGTCCCTACCCAATTCTTATCTTGAATTGTAGTTCACATAATACCCACATGTTGTGGGAGGGACATGGTGAGAGGCAATTAAATAATGGGAGAGATTTCCCTTATACTATGTCCGTAATAGTAAATTCTCACGATATTTTATGGCTTTTGTGCCAGGCGTAGTGGCTCACGCCTGTAATCCTAGCACTTTGGGAGGCCGAGACGGGTGGATCATGAGGTCAACAGATCAAGACCAGCCTGGCCAACACGGTGAAACGCCGTCTCTACTAAAAATACAAAAAATTAGCTGGGCTGGTGGTATGTGCCTATAGTCCCAGCTACTCGGGAGGCTGAGGCAGAATTGCTTAAAACCGGAAAATGGAAGTTGCAGTGAGCTGAGATCATGCCACTGCACTCCAGCCTGGTGACAGAGTAAGACTCTATCTCAAAAAAAAAAATAAATGTTATGGCTTTTTAGGGGCTTCCTCTTTCACATGGTTCTCATTCTCCTCTCTCCTGCTGTCATGTGAAGAGGGACATGTTTGCTTCTCCTTCCACCATAATTCTAAGTATTGAGGCCTCCCCAGCCCTGCAGAACTGTGAGTCAATTAAACCTCTTTTCTTTATGAATTACCCAGTATTAGGTAGTTTTTTATAGTAGCATGAGTACTGACTAATACACAAATAACGAAATAACTGAGAAAGAAAACGGGCAATCTCATTTATAGTAACTACAGAAAATTAAAATATTTTGGAACACATTTAACTAAGGAGGTGGAAGACCCCTAAAAGGAAAAATACAAAACACTGATGAAAGAAATTACAGAGAACAGAAAGAAATGGAAAGACATCTCATGCCCATGGATCCAAAGATTTAATATCATTGTAATGACCATATAATCCAAATCAGTCTACAGATTCAATGAAAACCCTTTCAATATATCTGTCATTTTCACTGAAATAGAAAAGTACATTCTAAAATTTGTATGGAATTTAAAAAGAGCCTGAATAGCCAAAGCAATTCACCCTACCTGACTGCAATAATATATTACAAAGCTAAATTTAACCAAAATAGCATGGTGTTCATATAAAACCAGAAATATAGACTGATTGAACAAAATAGTGAACCCAGAAATAAATCCATGTATTCAAAATCAACTGATTTTCATCAAATGCACCAAGAACATACATTGGACAAAGACACCCTCTAAAATAAATGCTATTGGGAAGACTCAATATTCATAAGCACAAGAATAAAATTAGACCCCTTATCTCCCACAATACATAGAAATTAACTCAAAATCAACTAAAGATATAAATTTAAGACCTGAAACTATGAAATTCCTAAAAGATAACAAAGGAGAAAAACTCCAGAACATTGTTTCTAGGCAAAGATTGTATAGCTAAGAACTCAAGGGCACAGTCAACAAAACTAAAACATGTTGGACTATATTAAACTAAAAATTTTCTGCACAACAATGGAAACATTAACAGAAAAAAGACACAATCTGTTGAATGTGAGAAAATATTTGCACACTATTTATCCAATAAGGAACTAACATCCAGAATATACAAAGAATACAAACAACTCAACAACAAAAAAGCAAATAACCCCATTAAAAAGTGGTCAGAAACTATGAATTAGACATTTCTCAAAAGAACAATTGCCAATCAGTATATTTTAAAAAGTTCCACGTAACTTATCAGAGAAATGCAAATTAAAACCACAGTGTAGTATTATCTTACTCCACTTAGCATCGTTATTATTTTAAAAATTTTAAAACAACCAAAAAACAAAAGATGCTGGTGAGGATGCAGAGAAAAAGAAAGCTCTTAAACTCTGCTGGTGAGAATGTAAATTAGTACAGACATTATGAGAAACAGCATGGCAGTTTTTCGAAACACAAAAAAATTGAACGACCATGTGATCCAGCACTTCTGCTACTAGCTATCTGTTCAAAGGAGAGGAAATCAGTATGTCAAAAAAAATCTGCACTCCATTTTATTGCAGCAGTATTTACAACAGCCAAAATATGGCATCAATCTAAGTGTGCATTAACAGATAAATGGATAAAGACTGTATAGTATATATACCCACTGGAATACTGCTTGTTCATAAAGAATGAAATTCTGTCATTTGTAGCAATATGTGTGGAACTAGAGCCCATGATGTTAAGTGAAATAAGTCAAGTACAGAATGAGGAATATCACATGTTTTTCCTTATATGTGAGAGCTAAGCAAGTTGATTTCATGGATGTAGAGAGCAGAATGTTAGTTAACAGAGGCTGGAGAGCGTATGGTGTCGGGGGTGGTGACAAAGAGCTACTGGTTAATGGCACAAGCATACAGTGGATAAAAGAAGTAAGTTTTACTGTTTGATAGTAGAATGACTAAAGTTAAAAACAATGTGTTATATATTTCAAAACAGCCAGGAGGGAGGGCCTGAAATGTTCCCAACACATGGAAATCATAACCTGAGCACCTTAAATACGTTACGTATGCTGACTCAATCATTACACATTCTACGCATGTATTGAAATATTACATGTATACTCCCCTCACCAAAAGAGAAAGATAAATAGAAGAAAAAGAATTCGGCCGGGCGCGGTGGCTCAAGCCTGTAATCCCAGCACTTTGGGAGGCCGAGGCGGGTGGATCACGAGGTCAACAGATCGAGACCATCCTGGTCAACATGGTGAAACCCCGTCTCTACTAAAAATTACAAAAAATTAGCTGGGCACGGTGGCGCGTGCCTGTAATCCCAGCTACTCAGGAGGCTGAGGCAGGAGAATTGCCTGAACCCAGGGGGCGGAGGTTGCAGTGAGCCGAGACTGCGCCATTGCACTCCAGCCTGGGTAACAAGAGCGAAACTCCGTCTAAAAAAAAAAAAAAGAATTCAGCATAATATTGTGGTACCCACACAAGAAACAATTCTTTATATAAAATAATTTTCTGCCTCACACATTCTTTTTTTAAAGGTATATATTTCACTCTTGCATTGGGCTCAAAGAGGAATTTTTCAGGAATTCTTGGTCTTAGTAAGAGGAAAATACACTTTCCCACTGAGAAATATAAAAGTGCATTAAGTAGCACAACTATCCTTTAAAATTTCGGAGGTTAAAAAGCCAAGGTTGGTAAACATTTGGACTGCAAGTCTGTCACCTGGAAGCTAGATTTTTACAGCTTCTCTAATGAGCCTTACAAATAAGAATTTTTCAACCTATAAAACTCTCACCTTTTAAATTAAAACCTGTGGTAAAGCAATTTTTACAGATGCATTGCTTTTAATAATCATAAATACATTAAACTCTTCAGATATGTGCATGTACATTTAATGTGCTATTTCTCAAAGCAAAATATATTAATCATTTAAGGAAGACTGTTATAAAGAGAAGTTCACAACTAATTAAAATATATGAAGTTATACAAAAAAGTTTTCATAAAAATTTAGCCAAATATTAACATAATATCCCTACATTACCTAGCATTCTGTAGGGAACATTACTAATTTAAAATGTTTCTATTTGCTCAATGAAAGTCTTATTAAATACGTATTTCATTTCTATAAGAATTTAATGTAAGCCACATACTCTTCTGAGAGTAGCATATTTTAGTACCCTATTATCTCTTACTCTAGTTATTGCAATGACAAGAAAATAAATAGAAAATTCTGGGCCAAAGGTAGCTATCAAAAGTAATTTGTAAAATTTCACAGCAAAAAAAAAAAAAAAAAAAAAAAAAAAACTACCTTATAGATATATTTAGAGTTTTTTTTAAAAAAATCTATTTTCTAACTTTTAAAATTGTATCCTTGATATAGTGAGAAAATGGTGATTCAAAATCAGTGATTAACAGTGTCTCCCCAGTACAAAATAAAAGATAACCAATAAAAGGTAGGAAATAAAGGGGCTTATGCTATAAACATGAATTTCAGACTTCCACTATGATGACTCCACAGAATACATTTAATTCACCACCTCAGCTCCAGTCAAAGATAAAAATAGGAACTAGAAAAAAATAACTAGGTTCAGAACATAACAAATAAAACAAAACTACAAAATTGTCAGTGATATTGAATCATGAAATCACTGGGTTCTTACCCAAAAAAAAAAAAAAAAAAAGGAAATAAATACCAGTGTTTTAGTTCATTCAAGGTAAGAGTTTAAAGGGATTTGACAACAGGTCTCTGATTATTTGGAGTCAGATGCTGAGAATGGATCTCCTTATGTGTGAATAAATAGAAATTAAAATAAACAATAAGGAGCAAATCATCAAAACTACTATTTCCAACCATCATCATCAAGGTAGACTTAGAAAAGCAGGAAGACACAGATAAAGCCATTTAACCTGAAACTATATGAAGCAACTCAGGAGTATTTTACCTGAATCTTTGATATCCTTGACTTAACCATGACACAGGAGCCTTTAAAGCCTGCTTCTGACTGGAGAGTCTTGGAAGCCAGCAAAGGGCATCACAAAGTGTTAGCTGAGGAGGAGTAAATGCAAAGAAATTAGAAGTGAGCAAACAATCCTCTAAACGTGTCTCTTTGCCAAAATTTTGAGATTCAGGAAAACTGCTCGCAAAGTCAATATAATCAATAACCAGAAAATGAATAAATTCTAGAAAAATAGCTTTAAGGGAATATGTGATAACATCTTCAAAATATATGTCAAAATTTCTTAATGAGATAAGTAAAGGGCTATCATCCCTTTACAAAAGACTATACAATAGACAAGACAAAATAAAACTAGAAAAGTAAGATATATAAGAACATCAGTTAGAAATATTGGGGAAAAATAACAACCGAACACATCAACTAATTAAACTAACTCCATACTAAACACAAAGATATAGTGACTGGTAAAAATTTACTTGGGAAATCACCCAGAATGTACTTGTGAATGAATCCCCAGTTCAGGCATGGTTTGTGGGACTCATTATTTAAAGAAGAACAAAGGTAAGTATTTTCAACTTCTTCTCAGAAGCCATTCAAATGAGAATAGAGTGGTGAAAAATATTTAGTGTTCAGAGCAAAAATTTCCCCACCAACTAGAATTCTGCACCTTGAAATATTATCCTTGAAAAGGGAAGGATAAATAGTTTATCAGACAAACAACAATTGAAGGAATTTTGTACCAGTAGACCCACCATGCAAGAAATGTTAAAAGTAGAGAGAAGAAAAATCATATAGGTCAGAAGCTTGGCTGTGATAAAGAAAGAACATTAGAGAGGGAATAAGTACAGGTAAAATAAAAAGTTTTAAAAAACGTATTGTTATATATGCTTATGTATAAGTAAAATGAATGACAGCAATGATACAAGAAATGGGAATGAGGAATTATGATTATTTTGTCATTATAATGTACTCTTGTATGCATGAGGTGGTATAGTATTATTTAAAAATGTAATTATGTTACTTGTATATATATATTGCAAATTCTAGAGCTACTACTTAAAATATAAAAATATAACTGCAACCTATAAGCTAAGAAAGGAGAGAAAATGTAACCATATAAAATGCTTAATTAAAGCCACAAAAGGCAGAAAAAGAGTAGAATCAAAAATAGAGACACAGAACAAGGACAAGAAAACTTTTAAAGTAGCAAATATGGTAAATATTAATCCAACTATATTCATAGTCATTTAGAATATTAATAATCTAAATGTACCAATTAAAAGACTGATTTTTCAGAATGGATCAAAAACTAAATCACAAATACACATTGTCTAGAAGAAAACTACTTTAAGTATAAAGACACATATAATGACACGTATAAATGGCAAGTAAATAGATGGAGGAGAAAAATACACCATACTAACACTAATCCAAAGAAAGTGGGATAGCTATATTGTTTTTGACAGAGCAGATTTCAGGGGCAGTATACAATAATAAAAGGATGATTTTTTATGAAAAATAACGATTTTTAATGTATATACATCTGACAATAGAGCATCAAACTATGTAAATAATAGAATGGCAAGGAGAAATGTATTAATCCAATGTCATAGTTGGAAACTTCAAATCCTTCTATCAGAAAGAGACAGATCTAGCAGGCAGAAAATTAGTAACGACATAGTTGAACTTAGTAACATCATCAATCATCTGGATATAATGAAAATCTATAATCTATTTCATCCAATAAAGCCGAATATGCTTTCTTCACTGGCTCACATGGAGCATTCGCCTAAACATTTATATTGGGCTATAAAACACATCTTAATAACTTAATAGAAATCATACAATATTGATTTTCAGACCACAATGAGATTGAACTAGAAATCATTATCAGAAAGACAACTGGAAAATTCCAAAATGTGTAAAAATTAAACAATGTGTCTGTAAATAAAATGAGTTAAACAAGAAATCTCAAAAGAAAAGTAAAAATATTTTGAACTTAATAAAAATGAAATCACAACTTATCAAAATTTGTGGAATGCAGTCAAACCAGTGCTTAGAGGGACATTTATAGCATTAAGTATATTAGAAAAGAATAAAGATCTAAAGCAGGAATCTGCAATTTCACCTTTAGGAGACTAGCAGAAGGGAAAATGAGATCTAAAGCAAGCAGAATAAAGGAAATAATAAAAAATTTGCATCAATGATATTGAAAATAGAAAAGCAATAGAGAAATCAACATTAAAAGCTAGTTATTTGAAAAACTGATAAAATTAATAAATCTCTTGGCAAAGCTATGAAAAAGGAGAGAGAACCCAAATTATTAATACTGGAAATAAAAAAAGAACATGATTGCAGATCCCATAAATGTTAAAATAATGACATAATTCTATTGTAAATTATTGTAACAATTACTCTGACAAAGAAAGCAAGGAAGGGTGCAGTTAGGACAAGAGCAGCAGCCAGAAACATATACTTGGCAAAAGAGTCTTATAGGAGATAGCCAATACATCCCTTGAAACTTTATGAAATGTCTTGCATGCATTGCTGAAATAGGCCTATTTTTCTTTCTATAGCCCTAACACTGAGAGAGCCAGCCAAGATGAAAGTAGAATAATTCAACAGGAGTTTGAATCTGGACTCTGCCACTTTCTGCAGTGCAACCTTAATCCAAACTTCTTTAAATTGCAGTTATATAATCTGTAGAGTGTGGTTATTAGATAACTTATATCATAGAAATGATAGGCTCAAGTTAGAAAGAGAGTGATTTTACAAAAACATAGCCCCAAACTTGGTGGCATATAGGAAACTTCTCTGGATAAGCATGAACATTTATCAGAATTACTCTTCACAACTTTTCGCATCTGAATCTAACATCAAAATTTATAGACAGTGAAGTCATATTCAATTTGTGTATTATTTCTTACAGTCCCAATGCAACTATATGGTTTTCTTTTATTCTTTGTCCCAATGTTGCCCATGCATATTGTGCTAAATACAAAGTAGTGATGTAAGTTTAAAAATGGGGAGTTATTTGGTATATAATAAAAAACTACTGATTACTTTTTAGAACTAGTTTAGACAATTAGCCAAGTATAAGCATAAACATTTAACTGTTCTGCAATGTGTTAATATTTTGTCCTTTTAGTAGCAACACTTCTCACATTTCTCTGTTAACAAAGTCACCTAAGACTAACTTAAAATGGGCCTATGAAAATCCATCAACTTTTATTAAGATCTTCTCTTTTATAGTTATTTAATATATTTTCTTAATTATACAACAAGAATCTTCAATCCTTCCATTCTAAAGGGAGTCAAAAGTAGCAGACTGTTCACAAATGGGCTGAGGCCTCTTGGAAAACATCATTCATTAGTTCAAGAACAGAAGATACATAATACATATCATCTCTAACTTCAAGAGGATGTCTTCGAAAAAAACATTTATCATTGGTTTTTATCACTTAAAGACATTTTCTACTAGTAAGAGAGATATAAATAATTTTGTATTAACTTTATATAAAATTTGTTAAATATATTTAAAAATACTCCAAGAATGAATTTTGTTGCAATGCTGCAGATGTGGTATTAATAGTGAATGATTAAATGCATGTATTAACAAAATATCTGTAAGACATTATATTGCAAATAAAAAAATCAGAAATCCTTAATGATAAGCATAGAACAGTATAATTTATAGAAAATACTTTTAAGAACCCACATCTAACCCACAAAAACAATGGACCTAGAAATGCACATTATTGTCCAACTTTGAATCACCATCATTTTGTATTTCATACCCTGAGTAGATTTCAAAATTAAATAAAAGATGACATTACACATTAAGTACTTTAGCTCTGGATACCATTATGAAACTGCCTAAACATATAACCCAAAAACAAGAATAGTTATTACAGATGTAAGTGATCATCACTTCTTTTTTTAAATTGTACAGTGAAATGTCCCGTAAGAAGCAGTAAATCCTAAATGTTGGACTGTTCTAGGTAATTGGCAAATAATCATGCCCTGGCATTTTGCCAAAATCACAAGTGTTCCATTGCTAATGTATTTTATATATTGATGTACAGATTATTTAAAGGTACTCTTATCCTTTCCTTTCAAACAGGCCTTGGGATACTTGCTATGACAACAATACATATTTGGTAAATGCAGGATAAAATCTTTTGAACATCTAACTAGGTTAAAAAGCTCAGCCAAAAAATTAGTACTAAACAGTATTTGGGAAATTGGGCTCCAAAAGAGAGACTGAAAAGATCAAGTCAAACAAATGGGATCCAAAAGGCGAGTTAGGATAGCAGATACAGAGAAACAATTTTTGGACCGTGAGCAGTTCAACACAGTTTAATATTTACATAGGATTCTAGAAATTAATTGGCTAACTAAAGCATACTAGAGTTGGGGGTAGAAATGACCAACTTAGTAACTTAAACACTGCTTTTTGGCAAGTGAATAAAACTTTTTTGGTGACTTTTTTCAGGAGAAAATTAAAAACAGATTATGGACTTGAAGCACAAAAGGTATGTAGATTGGATATATACAGACATTGCATATGGCAACAGTACTCATCAAAATATTTCCAGATTTTCACTAATTTTTGTTTATTGAAATATTACAAAGATATGAAAATTGGGAAAAATTTTGTTAACAATTGCCCTTTAAATTGAATTCCATTTACCTTCAAGTTTACTATTTTTACCATTGAAAAGTATAGAAAAGTATATTGTTATAATTTGATATTATGCAATTTTCAATGAAAACAACTTGATAAAATCAATTCAGTCACCCTAGCTAATAATGGGTCTACAGTACATATAAATATTTTTTTCCAAACTTCTTCATGAATTTCCTTTTTCTAGCCTCTACAAGAACATTTATAGGTGTGCCAACAAGCATTAAGCCACAGCACATTCCTGATAAATTTCACTAGTCCATCCTCTCTAAAATAAACGAAATTCAGGCTCCATTTATTGACAGGAAACAATACTACAACATGCTTTGAGTAATTTTTTAGGTGTTATGTCAATTAGAAAGCTTAGGATCACTGATTACATAACTAGATGTTACTAATTATAAAACCTTCCTATGATAATTAAAAATCTATTATAATTAATGACAAAATGTTAAAATGAGTTAGTTATCTCAGGAATTTGAGTATTTTAGATAAATTCTCTCATTATGCTTTTCATTCCCAGTCTAAAATGACTAAAAATAATCTTGTAGAAAGGTCATATGTTGTGTTTACAAATGAAAAATGAAGTAGAGAAATCAATTAAATATATGAGTAGTTTAATGCCCTGGTGTTTAAACTCTGTTTGAAATATTCAGATATATAGGATACATATATATACATGTATATATATATATATACATGTATATATATGTGTGTGTATATATATATGTGTATATATATATATAATCTTTAAATTTCATTTTCTGTATATACATGCAAATTTCTATTTGTTAATTTGATTCATATAAGTCAATATATATTTGGCTTAATCATGAAGCCTATGCTTGCATTTACTTTTCACTTATCTGTCATTTCTCTCAGCCAGTCCCCAGGCAACAGCTTCTTTATGTGGGTAAAGTCCTTTAAAACTATATCATTAAAAAAATTTAAAAATGATTTAGCAATAACCAAACAGAATCAATGCTTGTGTAAGCACATATTCTATGAGACTGGCAGAAAGGCAACCTTGACTCTGCCAAAGAAAAATTGCACAGAACCAACATAAATGTTTAGACAGGAAAGACTTTATTCAAGACTACTGCAACAGGGGAGAGAGATTAAATTCACATTGTTTGAAACAAAGGGCAAGAGAGTTTTAAGCACTGGGGTGAGCTAGTGGAAATATATACTGGAGGACACTGGAGGAAGGTTGATTATTATAATTAGGAATTCTGTACTTGCTAGTTAGCATTTATTGAAGTTAGGCTTCTACCCTCCCACAGACACCAGGGGGATAGGGATCCTGTATTTCTTCATAATTTTATTTCAAAGAGATTCTCTGAGTTCTTTGACAAAGACATTTCTATGTTGTCAAAATGGCAAGAAGATTTACAGCTCAAAGAAGCAGGGAAACAATATATAGCTGTAATTTTTCTAAATTAAATGCTCTAGAAAATGAGGTCAAGGATCTATAACCAGGAAATAATCTGTTTAAAGTTAAGCTGAGGAGAATAGCAAGGCTTTCTCTGTCAACTCTGAATCAATTTCACAACCCTTTGGGACTTTATATTTGAGTTTCTCTCTAACAATAGAAGAGAGCAAATTTCTTCCCTGGATGTAAACCAGCAAATTTCTGGCTAATTTACAAGCTTTATGTATACGTTATATATATATTTTTGACAATCATGTAAGTGTAGAGAGCCAGAGTAGCCCACCCCCTCTGAGGGGTTCAGCAGCAACACTGCTGTGAACTTTGGGTGAACTCCAGAGAACTGAAACCATAATAGGAGGATGTGTATGTTTTGAGGTGTAGCAGACAGGCCTAGAAAGAGATAACCAGCTGTCACTGACCTTGCTACAAGATAGTTTCTTAGCTAAAGTATGTTAAGTGAAATATGAGAATAATATTCACAGGCTGTTCTAAGTAACTGCACCCTCCCTTTGCTATGTGCTTTGTGAACATATAGAATAAAGTACCCTGAGACAGATCGGGGCTGGAGAGACTGATATCCTTCACCTCCTGGACCGCCTGGCCCAGCTTTCTCAATGTGTATGTTTGTGTCTTCATCCCCTACCATTCCCCCTTAGGTCTTTGAACCCTTGTGCAGCGTGGGATGCAGCATGCACCAGACATAAGCATACAGGATTTCTGGGAGAAGAAACCCAACCTAATAAATGAACTACTATTTCAGAATGAGTAATGAGGCAAAAATTAACCAGAAAACATACATACACCCAGTGAGTTTTTTCCTCTCTGTTTCCCATTGTTCCCAAGATTGGTACACATTATAAAGAAAAATACTAGCATTTTCTGAAATAATATTAAATAGCAAATGGATCTTAACTTCTATAACTGTTTTCCTATCCATAAAGTACATAAAATAATCAAATTTTAAAATAACTTTCAGTGGAGAATCTAGGTAGAAATATTGTTGGCACAAATTAAGGGTGGTTTTCTACTTCTAATATGTGTAAACCTCTTTGTAATTGTTCAGTTCAGTAGTTCACTTAGGATGCAATCTTTATAATGAACTATGAATGAGCTTGTTTCTCATATGTATAATATGCATAAGTGGCATCTTTGAGTGGTTAATGTCTTTAATATTTTTGGATATTACCATGAAGAAATATTCAAAATAAAAATAAGCTTGCAAAAAGCACTGTGACCTCTTCCTCAGTGGATAGTGACACATGAATCAATTTGATAATTAAAAATCAATTTTAAAGTCACAAATCAGAACACTTTTCCCTTAAACCAGGCCTATTCCCATTCTTTCACACCAATTTGTCCATTGACGTAAAATATGCTACTTAAATACAGCATCAGGAAATTATTTCTGAAATAATATGTTTACGCAAGTGCAGCAAGAAAATATCATGCATATACTGTAACTGCCTCTTGTGAAGGAAGGTCAGAAGGAGAAATAAATACAAAGTTGTTTGAAAAGAAGAAAAACTACAGAAAAAAAGGCTAGCAATATTTCATTAGATGCTTCATGTAAAAACTAGGAGTTTGCCAAAAGAAATTGATGCTTTGAAAACACATAGCCATGTTTAAGTTTAGTTTTGTTGCCAAAGTTTTTTGATAAATTATGGTGAAGTTAGATGTTTAGATTTATGTCAAAAAATTATTTTGCTATTATGAAAACTGAAAATAAAAAGGAAAGTGAAATATACATTATTGCTCATAAGGGAACAGAATTATGTTGGCCATAACAAACAAGTTTTACTTTACACAACTTTTCTACACTAAATATTTTAAATAGGCATTTTAGCTACTTTTAGTCTTTTCAATTAGAAAGTTACAGCCAAGTTTGTGATTCAGGTATGATTAAGTATTGAAAAAATAAGGCTTTTGAACAATTCTTTAGATGGTCCCTTTTAAAGGAAAGTTTATCCAGATAAAAACACAGAGAAGATGACCAACACCAAATTGGAATGATTTGACACTTGGTGACTAAACCTGATTTCACCTTTCTCACTGGATCATCTGACTAAATGAGATAAAAATGTTTTATTCACATTACTGCATCAGTGCAATTCAAAAATCTTTTCTAAAATATCCAAGATGGACTAGAGTTGTAGTCCTAGCTCTAACATAGCTTCCTCAAGCATCTTTATAAAAAACCTTAAGAAGGAATTCATAAAGGTATTTCCTTGAAGTTAAATCTGGTGAATCCAGACTGGAAATAAGTTTAAATAGTGATTTAAACTTAAACTGCTGAGTATTAGAATCACCGGAAAAATTTTTAAAATTCTCCGCACCATGGTTACACTCAATGTCAATTAAATAAGAATGTCTAGGAGTGGAAGTGAGTCTTTTTTTTTTTTTTTTAAGATACCCAAGTGGGCCGGTCGCGGTGGCTCAAGCCTGTAATCCCAGAACTTTGGGGGGCCGAGGCGGGTGGATCACGAGGTCAGGAGATCGAGACCATCCTGGTCAACATGGTGAAACCCCATCTCTACTAAAAAATACACAAAAAATTAGCTGGGCATGATGGCGCGTGCCTGTAATCCCACCTACTCAGGAGGCTGAGGCAGGAGAATTGCCTGAACCCAGGAGGCAGAGGTTGCCGTAAGCCGAGATCGTGCCATTGCACTCCAGCCTGGGTAACAAGTCCGAAACTCCGTCTCAAAAAAAAAAGATGCCCAAGTGGATTAAATATGGAGGAAAGGATGGGAACAAACAAGTTAAAACATACCTTGCCTGGCATGAGGAAAAAGTAATGAAACTCCTAAACATCTAATAAAAGACTGTATTTGGATGGCATATCCACCACATTTTTTGCAGCATTAAAGTATAAGCCGAGTGACTAATGAACAAAGTTCCTTCTAAGGACTTTGAGGAAATAAATAAGATGGATTGAAAGTTCACTGCAACTTTGAGTTTTTGACAATTTATTTTATTTTGTCAATTTTTAGGCTAAAAACAGTCCCTAAAAGCTGTTTCATACTGGTTATGCTAAATTCCATTCAGAGTCTCCTTCAATCTCCTTTTATGGGTAATATGAGTCAGTAATAGCATGTTGAACTATATATATCATTTTGCTGTGATTTTTGTCTTGTTACATAAACCTCTCTTTAATAATGTGATTCTAATGCGAGGGTTGACAAGTTAGAATACTATTAGAAGAATTAAAAGAGAATCAACATGATTAATTCACTATGTTTCAAAAGAGAAGACTGAAATTTCTAGTTTTCAGAATCTTGCATTTCAAAATTATCACCGTTAAAAAGAGAATAATATTATCTGATTGGAATGTCAGAGAAATCATTCAAAAAAAGATGTCCAAAATCAAGGGTAAAGCCTAGTGCATTTTCTCTGGTAAATGGGGAACTTGATTGGCTGATGGATATGAAATCACCAAACCTAATATATCTTGTAATATATTAAAATTTATTTTTATACCATGTATAAATGTCACTGTATAGTGTTGCAAGATTGTGTGTGTTTTTAATCACTGTGTTTATCAACATAGGTAAACTGCTAATGCTAAAAATTCACTTGTCTATAAAAATGCAGGCTTATTTGTGGGGCCTATCCAGTACATGGTGATAGAAGAGAGGAGTGCTATGTTACTTTGCTCTGTCATTTAGAACTGCTTCTTTTCATCCATGGCTTCTCCATCTCTACCAAGGGCTTGCCACCTTCTTCGGGCTCCTCTGTTACCAGCTCTGAGATAAAGGAGAGTAAGTGTGGAGAATGGTGAAGAAGTGTGATATGCAGACATTTCTGAAATGTCAAGATAGCTGACACCTTGCTCTTGAACTTCCTTTCCTTCAGAATGAGAAATAAATTTGTGTTAAGTTGCCCAATCTGTAATATATTATAGCAGCCTCAGAACATTAAAATAGTCATAGACCCTTCTGATTTCTAATGGTCAGAATTCAGTCACATGACCTGGCTCAAAAAAGACTGGGAAATTAGTCTAACTTTTAAAAGAGGAGAAACATGGATTCTGTCCTCTTGATCAATAAATATCTTTTGTTCATTTATTCTATCTATAAGATACCAAAAGCCTCTCTCCAAGGGATTCAGCACAAAGTCTAAGATTTCTAGGCAATATAATATATTGTTCACTATTCTCTTTGATCTTGGCTTTGACCTGGAAGATTTTTTTTTTTCCTTCTGTTGTTAACTTCTTGTCTGTCTTTAGTAAGCATTTTAATCTTGTATCACTTTTTCAGGCTGGTTCCTATGAAATCAAACTTGAGTCCAAAGATTGTGTTACAGATTGAATAATAAAAGGCAATAAAATTTCCTAAAGTATTGATAGGTTATTATTCTATGCAGTCTACAATATTCTCTTGATATATTCCTTTGCTTTCTCACTTCTAAGTTTCTCTTTTTTAGCTTACTGGCACACCCACACCCTTAGTCTAAACATGTTCCAGATCTGAGTTAAGGAGGAAATCTTACAAAAAGCTTTCTAAATTCTTATAAAGAATTGGAGTCCAGGCAAGTACTTCAAAACCTGAATAAACCCAAGTTTCTGGTTTTTTTTTATTCCTTTTCATTTAATGTTTCCTACTCTTTTCTAAACTTATCTTTTTAGGTAATACATTGTTCAGCATAGTAAATAACCATATCCAAAAGATATCAACATTTTTTAGCCAACCTCTTTTCTTAAAGGTAGATCTCGGGAGACATATCTTCTCTCTTCTACTAGTGTTTAAATGTTTGACACTGAATAACACAGATATATAGCTGTCCATCCTGTTTGTTCCTTCACTACCTACCTCCAGTCTGATAAATCAGTAATTAAATGTTGGAAGTTTCCGCTGCAAAAGCAGCTGTTAATATCTTTAGTAAATTAAATCACACTAACCATTGAAATAATCAGCCTCAGAATGTTGAGTTACTTTGACATTCACACCACCATCCACTGTGTGTTAGCTGCATCAGGGAGAAATGGGAGGTTCCTTCTCTGTTCCATGCAGTCACTCAGGTACCCAGCCCCCTTCCGTATTTTGATAGTGTTATCATAAAGGCTCAGGGTCTTCCCATTGGAGGCTTTACCTCAAACAGTCAAACAAGGAAAAGGATATGGAGAGTGGGGACTAGAAGAAGTGAACATTACTTTTGCCCACAATCTTTTACCTAGAACTCAGTCACATGGCTTTACCTAACTTTAAGAGGGTTGTACAATGATCTCCAGTAGTGTTTCCTGGAAGAATAAGTGAAACACAAATACTGCTCAGCTGTATCATCTCCCTCAATTATCATCTATTTCAAATGATTGTTTCATCTAAAGATAAAGTAATATACAATTAGGCCTATTTAATTTACTCACTAAAGCACCATGCATACAATTTCTTTTTATTACTATTGGCCTGAACCTAGGTTTACCAGATGAAACAAAGAATTCACAGTTAAACCTGAATTTCAGGTACACTACAGATAATTTTTAGTATAGGTATTCTCCAAAATTGCATGTGTCAAACTTATTAAAAAAATCATTGTTTATCCAGAATTTAAATGTTACTAAATATCTTTCTTATTTGATTGTATTGCCGAATCTGTCAATCCCAGCCTGAACACTTTTATTTTCATTATTGTGAAGCATGCTCAAAGATGTCAATATGAATTACGTCAAGTGTCAATATCATATGTCTTCCCTCAATTACCTTTAAACAAACACTGCTTCAAACAAAAGGTATAGTCTTGACTAATATCTGCTATTTAAATCTAATTTATATATGCCTAGAATTATTTATAACTAGTCTTTAGTGTGATATAAGACTTGATATTTTTATTAAATTTCAGTACAACCCCCTTAAAATAATCTTATGCTACTTTTATTTCAATATATGTGTTTTCCTTTGTTAGGGGAAAAGTTGCAGAGAAGTGCAAATTACCAGGCTTAAGATAAATTAAGAAGCACTGGCACCTTCACTGATCTTCATACCAAGAGCTGCCCATAAAGTGGTGCTGCCGAGATTGGATTGCTCCTGCATGCTCCCTCAGTGATTTTTATATTTTAATAAGACCGTTCATTATAGTTAGCTCCGTGTGTTGGAGCCATTAGATATTTATGGGAAATAGCATATCATTATCTCAGTTGCATTCTGAGCCATTTGGGATGCTTTTAAGTTAGGGTGATTTTTTTCCTGTCTCAATTTTACACACACTAGTGCCTATGTGCCTGTTGAGCTTATTTCTGTCTTTAGGTTCTTTGATCCTATTTTTCAACTTTATTGTGTTAAAGTGGCAGATGAACAGTGTCACTGACTGCTAGACAGGAGTAGCCTCAAATTCAGTTAATTCAAAAATTTACTCTCTTAAGAGAGGGGCTGACGTTCTAAGTCCTTTATTTATTCTCACTCATCTAAAATTCCATCAGGGAACATTCATACACATCCCCTTATCTCTTCAGATTTACCATTAGTGATCTAAGAATGGAAACGATGATTTTGACATTACATGACCATAAGAAGGAAGGATGTTAATAGGAATTCTTAGAGCTTATAAAGGCAAAAAGCAAACACAACACACACTTGAAAATTATTAGTGAGCAATGAAACTAAAGGTAGCTCTAGTACAACTGAGTAATTTTCCGTGTTGACATGTGAACCTATTGAAGGTTCTAAGTTATATTTGTGATTTTAATGTAATAAAGTACATATTAAGTTTAGATTGGGATTTAGCAAATCTGTATTGTTATTCTTGTAACTGTATTTTTCCAGTTTGGGTTGGGGGTGGCTAAAGATTATACAGCAAAATCCTTTTCTCTCTTATTCGTTATTTGTTTATATTAAAGATCTATTATCTGAATTGTTTTAAAATTTTTATTTGCTATCCTGCCTGGTGTGGCTAGCTTCTGCATCAAATCCAGAAGTTTTCAAACTCATACATATTATTTTATTTCATATTCATTATGTTTATTGTGGTAGTAGCCTAGAATTGTTTATTTAGTAAAGATTTGTTGCACTTATACTATTTCCAAATATGAGTAATAGGAATGCATATATAAAACATAGAATTAATCTCTATCCCAACAGCTTCACAAACAAGTACATATGTGCATGTGTAATCATTCCTCTTATTTACTACTATGTTGCCAGTGAGAGAAGTTCTAGAGCATTGATTTTATCCAGTTAAAATTCTCATATTCCTCAAATTCAGATCTTGAAGTAGGATTACTAAGTTCTTTAGTTGCCAAATACATAACCAGAAAAACAGTGTTACTTTTTGAAATGAGTATCATTTTGTAATAGGCATTATGAAAGTAAAAGAAAATGTCATAATTCCAAAAGATGATCTTACAAGCAATATATTTAGTTTTCCAGTAATTAATTGTATTCCTCTGATGTGGTTCATCTGACTGTGGACATTGTAAACTTTGTCAAGGATTTTGCAAATCCAGTTTTATTTGGGAGTTAGTAAGGAATAAAATAGTCTGATATTTTAACTCTGTTTGTTTGGAATTAAATTGTTATATGCCAATATTAAATGCTGCAAATATTTCATAGAAAAATGAAACCTTAACACAACTCTGTAGTCCTAACTATGGAAGAAGATAATGGGCCTAAATACAGAGGAAGACTAGTTTCTGGAGGAAGAAATCAAGACAGAGTTATTTCAAACAGATGGGCCATGGGGCTTTGGAAACTGATATACTGGTCAGGCACAGAGTCAGTATGGATGAAGAGAGTAGAAAAGAACCCCAAACAACTTGTATAAAGCTTCATTCTGTTTCTTCATTCTGCGTTATTTTTCATCATGATTATTTACCACTATCCACATTATTTCATACCTTTATTTTACTCAAGAAATATTTGTCAGGACTCCTTAAACTTTCTCTGGGACCTAGGATAAAATGAGAGAACAGAAAAGTCTCTCTTCATGAAGCTTCTATCTGGTTTCTGCATTTATTGTCCCAACATAACAGAATTTCTGTCGAAGTAGGGACTGTAGTTCTGTTTCAATATGTTGTATATAAATACATTTGCAATCCAACCATTGCATAGAAGGTGCTCAATATTTTTGTTGAATTAATAAATAGAGGGCTTTGGGTACATGGAGTGGAGGAGTGGTTCTAAATACTCAAGTACATTGAAAGTAGTTTACTTCTAACCCCAGAAGACTGGGAGGCAACAAGGCTATGAAAATAATATCAAATATAATGGTAGCCCATGGAATATGCCAGAAATTCCAGCCATCTACTGCTATTTTTTTGTGTGTGTTAAAAGAAAGGATTTTTTACAGGAGACTGTAAGTTCTAGTAATGAAAGCTGGTTAGGAAGAGCTATTGTTATCTTGTATCCAAGCTGTGAAGTTAGACTGATGTTCCTATGCAAATTGTCTATTTACAAAATGACAATGTTTATCTTGTCTGTAGGACTATGGGAGTAAATTTACATCTAAAACCACACATTCTACTTCAAATACCCTTTTTCAGGAAGGTCTGGGCCTAAGGTTTCTTACAAACTGAATCAGCTCTTTTGGAAATAATCATCCTTCTGTACCATGGCAAGGGTGACATTGATAAAGAGAATGAAAATGATAAATCTATAAACCCTGGTCTTTATGTGTAGAGGAAAAGTGCTACAGAGAAAAGAATCACTACCATAAAATGGATGGAGATGAAAGGTGGCAAAATGATTTAAGTAAGAATTAATGGCAAAGATTTTAAGGACAGTTTAAAAATTCAGTTAACACAACTGTTTGAAGATTAAGAAGTGAGGAGACATGGGATTCAAGTGCACTGACAACTGATTACATGCCTGACAGTATGCCAGCCATTCCAAGTGCACAAATACATTTCCCATCACTGAGGTGATTATTACCTCTTGAAAATAGTGACTAAAAAAATATGGTATAGATCTATACTATAACTTGCCTCAGGCCACATGTCTAATGTGGGACAGGTAGAATTGCAATCCTGTGCACTCAAATGACTCCTAAGCCCACATACACCATTTGATATTTTGGTATGAATATAAAATAAATTACACATCTCTGGGTCACTAATTTATTGACACCTAATAAGGTTTTCAAGCCTCATGAAAGTATTTAAAATAAGTCTCATACTTTCAATATATTTTCTTTGATCCTAATTTAGTAAGTCTAGAATCACTTGAAGGCCATGTGTGCAAAATACAGGCAAGCCACCTCCCTAAAATTAATTAAGGCCTGTGTTTAAATCATCTTCTCTTTTGCAAATCAGGAGAAATTAGATTAACAAGAAGTATGCAGGGCCCCAATCTAAACTACTTGAAAAATTCTGAAATACTACGAGAAAAGTGGTGAAATAATGGCTGTAGTGATTAAGATTAATATTCAGATACAATTCTCTGGCTGGCAAGATGTTAAAACACTGAAGTAAAGTTCCAGAATGGATATAAAACTCCAATTCTGGACAACTTTTACGAAGTGACATTAATATTTGAGTGATAATTTTTGACATTGTGTTTCACTAAATTATTTTTAACTTTGCCTTATGCTTGTACTTCTACATTTAACCTACTACTGGAGGCCAGGTGTGGTGGCTTACGTCTGTAATCCTAGCACTTTGGGAGGCTGAGGCAGGAGGATCACCTGAGGTTGGGAGTTCAAGACCAGCCTCACCAACATGGAGAAACCCTGTCTCTACTAAAAATACAAAATTGGCTGGGCATGCTAGCTTATGCCTGTAATTCCAACTACTTGGGACGCTGAGACAGGAGAATAGCTCGAACCCAGGAGACAGAGGCTGCGGTGAGCCAAGATTGCAGCATTGCACTCCATCCTGGGCAACAAGAACAAAAACTCGGTTTCAAAAAGAAAATTAATCTACCAGAGACTTCACATTCTGTTTTATTATTGTTCCTATCTGTTCTCACTGCCATAACAGTAAGTCTAACACACTGGTAAGCTGGATAATTTTCCTTCTGGATTCTGACCCTCACCTCTCCATCTCCAGCTTTCCTCCTATTCTTTCAACATCACATAAGCATAAGATGGTTGCTCTGAAATCTTGTTTTTTATCAAGTTACTCCACTGCTCTAAAAACTAATGTCTTCTCACTGCTTATAGCTATAGTTGGGCAAGGCATTTGGTGAGAACAGAGAAAACTAAACAAAAAGTCAGTGCTCAAATAACTGAAACAATGCTGGGTTAAGCAAAGCTAAAGAGGAATAGAAATTTTACTCTATGGATTCTCAGTACCTTTAAAAGGACAAAATATACAGAAATATCTCATTTGATTTTGCTGAGGGAGGCTTCATTCAAAAATACCTTCTGTATTTCCAAGAAGTAATGATGTTTCATGGGGCAAAATGTTGGTTTATACAATTTTATAATCTAGTATTTAAAATCGTATTTGTCCAGTTATGTCAAACTAGACTCCTGTGATCCAATTTGTTCTTTCCTGTCTTGTCCTTTGAACACACTTGATAATATCCCACTTCCTTCTTTTGCATATATAATTTAATCTGCCTAGAATAACTTATTCATGATCAATTCTAACTATCTTTAAATTCTTACCTGAATGCATTTTTTATGTAGCCTTCCCCAAATGGTTCTGTTGTGCCATTCTCTTTCCCAAACACTATAAACAGTACATATATAAACCTCATGGTTATTTATGTATTTACATCTGAGATATGCTAAATACCTTGATTTTATCAACGATAAATATTTTCTGTATTCCTTATTGTTTAGTATATATTTTTGGATTTCAATAACTGAAGCCAAATTTGACATAAAAATTTTATCCAAGGCAAATTTTTCTATTAGTACTAGCTAAGTGATGTTATGACATCACTCTAGCTAAAAATTAAAACTATTACTTATACCAATCAATGTTACAGAGTGAATATTTAAAAGTGCTTCAAAAA